TCATTCAAAATAACCGTAATAATAACTGCAACAATAAAAATAATGATAAAATTATCATTATCATCAAGATCATCATCATCATCACCATCATTATGAATGAACACTTCAATAATTTGTCATCTTTTGCATTAAAGTTCACAAATTTGTTTGTAACTAAAACAAAAAATTTCCACGAAAAATGCTTGATTCAAAACCAAAAACAAAACAGCATAAAAACGCATCGGACAAAAGCCACGTTTTACGCATTCAACAGTGATTTTGGTAAGCACCACAGGAAGAACTGGAAAACCGAATAATTTTACCACGCACAAAAAATAAAAAATAAAAACAGCAGAAGCAACCTAAAAGGAAAACTTAGCGAATGAAAAGAGATTCATAAAAGAAACTCGTTTTTATACTTTGAAAGAATAGAGAAAGCGATATGGCGAAAGATAATTGGCGTGTCTTTCAGTGACCGTATAAGCAATCAGACTCTTCGTCAGATTAGCGGCTTGAGAACAATTAAAAATATGATAGCTATGAACGAAATGATAACTGATAGCTATGAACTTGCCGCTTGTTCTGTTCATAGCTATGATAGCTATGAACAGAACAAGCGGCAAGTACTAACTGGAAGTATGCAGCTGAATTTTAAAAGGCCATGCAAAGATGGGCTCGGAGGGTGCATGCATCCCTGTTATGGCTGCCCTTATCCGACTTCTACTGATAGTGGTATTCTTTGTTGTATGCTGAACTAAACTGTAAACGACTGCTATAAACTCTACATATGTACACAGTCAAAGCCCAAAGTAACTTCAAACAACAAAACAGTGAAATTATCTGCGCAACAAATTCAATTTTGAATTTATTCTGGGGTTTAATTTTGCACAGCTACTGTCCAAGTCATAATGTCTTATTTTCACTTCCTCAACCCTCATATATCTCTTTAGCCAAAATTCAAGGTGCCGAGGAGCATCGTGCAATAGCAATTGGCGTTCCGCTAATGCTAGAGGTCGAGGTTCGACTCCACCCATGAGGCAGCCAATCCCTCTCCGTCTAGCTCAATCATTTTCAGATTAAACACATAACTGTTCAGTATATGGCGGGTAGGTGGCTGTAGTGATGATTCCTACTTCTGCTCGCGCGCAAAGTTCAATCTGTGTTTATAGCTAAGGGATGGAACACGGAAACTGAATCGTAAAATTTCTTCTTAGATATTACACTTAAGTCCAATCCCTCCACTCTACTACTTCAGGATAAAATGGTACTGGCGTATGGTATGAAGTCAAACTTGGCACCAATTAACCCACAATCATTTCCTGAAAGTGGGGCTACAGTCAGTTTAGGTTGTTGCTAGCACTTCCAATTATACAATTCCAACATAAAATTGTAAACGCAGTAGTGGGGAGCAGAGGAAACTGGGGATGGTAGGAGGTGGAAGAGGGGGAGGAGTGAGAAAGTTAACTTTCAATTTCGATATTTCAGGTTTAAAATAAAATATTTTGTACAAGATATGTACAACGTCGTTCGGCCTAAAACATGAACAAAATGAAAAAACAAAGCGCGAAATAAGTAAGATCGAAGAAGCAACAAACGTGACCTGAGGACGAATTCACGTCACGTTCGTGTCTACAACAATCAACAACGTGTACACGTACGAAGCTCAAACAACAACAACAAAGCTATCTAATTTAGGATTGAAAGAAAGCACGTTCCAGCACAAATTGCGATGGTGACGATGAACAATTCGATATGACACGTCCACGAAGCCAATCGCGATAACTGACCAAACTGGGTGGAATTTTTATGATCAGTGATAGTGTTGAACCGGGAAATCGCTGACACAAACCGGGCCAGTAGTCACGTGTTCGAATGAAAATCTGATTGAGTATCGAATAGGCCTGCTGGAATGCTTGCCGCACACACAGGATATTATGCGAACCACGTCCAATGTCGTTATCTGGAAAAAAGGAATTGTCCACGGAGATATCCGGCTTT